ATGGGCTTGGGCAGAAGGGAGATTTTCATCGCCCTGTCGGCACCACCGTCAACCTTCCTTTTCCCTTCTTCCCCAGTAGATGACAGTCACCTCCCTTCTCAGGCCCCAAATCTAAGAACCAAAAATCCAAACCCACTGCCATTGTGTCCATCCAAATTTGCAGGGACCCTATGAGACAGAGTAAAATGGTCCCATAAGGTTTTCAAGGCTGTATCTCTTGATGGAAACAGACTGCTTCACCTTTCCTCAGTAAGAAAGCAGCTGGTGGGTTCCCAGCCACCACCGACCTTTTATAGAGCAACTCAACGTTTAACCCCCCTGAATCGCAGAGCCTCTTAAAAAAATACGGCTCATTCGGCATTCTGACCACCAACATCCTGTATCCAGTGCCCCAGCCGTCCCTCTTCCTCTCCACTTGAACAGCTTCTTTCCAGTGTTCAAAATGGAACTTAAACATCATTTCCCTGTTTTACCTCCCCCACGAACATGTTCCATCTCATGATTAATAAAACCCCAGATCTCTCCCACGGATTACAATATTTCCTAGGCTGAGATTTTCAAAATAGATAGTGCCTCTGATGTGCACAGCATCCACTGACATACTCAACTTCAAAGTCAAAGTCGAGACCAGCTGGCTCACTGGCCTGGTGCAGCCCTTATGCCTGAGTGCCCTTGAAATGCTGGAGACCAGGAATGCTTCCCACCATTACTTTAAACAATGGCTTCCTACCATTGGATGCTCTGAGTGTGCGTTGTTAGCTGCCTGGGGATGGTGCTTCGGCCCGGCACAGTGTTAGCAGGAAAGCAGGACTCAATACACACTGGTTGCATGGACAAGTCACTTAAGTCCTGACTAGGCTGTGAACTTCCTGATCACACAGTGTTATACCAGCGCTGAGCCAGCTGTGACCACTTCTCCTACTTGCGCTCAGCTGTTGGGAAGACACGCAGTGGGAGGGGAGCCATCATTAAAAAGGGGGGGGACACTTGTTTCCAGTGTCAGGCATAAGCCAGGTGTTAGCTGCTGTAGTCAGCTCAGACTCATGACGACCTGTGTATAACAGACTGAAACATGGCCTGGTCCCGCACTGATGGACCGGTACTGTCCTTAAGGAGCTCCCTCCAACACCTGAGGGCTCGGTGAAAGTCTCTAGTATCCCTCCTTCCGCACCATGTCCTCTGAACCACCCTAGACGTGAACTGCACTGTTCTAGTTAGCACACGTGTCGATAAATCGTCGTGTTTGCGCAGTGCTTGACAAAGGATTTTACTCGGTGGTATGTCTTGTTTCCCCCTGCAG